CCCTCGACACAATATAGCAAGACCCTAGTTTCAGGGTTTTCACGAATCAATCTTTTATTTTGTTTGAAACTTCACGAATCAATCGTTGATCCGAAAAACGAGCCTGGAGACGGAATCTCCATTGATTTTTCACGGAGCTGAGTTATCACACGAAGAGGTAAATTTTGATCTCTCCTTTTCTCACATGTTCATTTCGATTGAGTTTTTTTTTCTCACAATTTACTGATTTGGAGACAGAAAGTTTTGGGATTTACAAGTTGCACTTTATGAAAACATAAAAGAGCTTGTGAATCTAATTATAAGACTTGTGGTTGTATAAAATGGTGAATTGATAAGTTTCGTATGTCTTGAAATCATAAAATTGGAAACTTCTTTGGTTTCAAAGGTGTATAAATCTGCAAAATTATAGATTTACGCTGGTAAAATCTATTCAATTGACATAAATTTTTGTATAAATCTGCAAAAAACTTATTTAGTTTCAATGTTCTTGTTGTATGCTTGATGCTAATGATTGATCTATGTGAGTGTATCCCTTCCTTGACTTGATTTTTGATTCAGTGCACGAACGTGTTGTATCCAACTTGAGAAGTGAGATTAATCATTCTTTTCAAGTGTTTCTTATAATTTAGAATCTTTTCATAATTTTTCTCCTTTGTTATTCGTAAGGTCCAAATAGATTTCATGTTTTTTATTACCTTTGCCTATATTTTTTCCTATGATTCACTGTGTTGATAACGCAATGCAAAGAGTGTGTATGAATGAAACTTGATTCTCAAAGATTTTATATTTATTATCCTCAGGTTCTGTTTTTGATCTTTACTTATCATGAGTACCGTTCTGAGTAAGATTAGTTAGTAATTGAACTATGTAGTTGAAGTAGATTCGTTGATCTAGTATTGACCAAAGCTCACACCTATCTATAGTGATCATCTACCAATTTTTCCTTTCTATGTTAATACTAAGTATGTTATTTAGTCTTTGTGTATAGGTATCTATAGTGATCATCTTTGATTTGATATTGTGTATAGGTATGGAAGAAGGGTTTCCAAAACGCATATTCAAAGAGCAAAATGAACCAGAAGCGGACCATATAAACAATAGCTGCAGAATGTCGTTTTTGGACAAAGTACAGAGCTTCTTACCAGGCGAGTACAAGGAAGTGAAGAGAGATCCTGTATTTGCACATATTTTTGCATTGCATGAGAATTCACTAGGTTATTCACATCGATTGA